CGAACAGTATTTAATATTGCTTCTACCGATGATAGTATGAAAATTTGACGAAACACGTCAATTTACATATTAAGGGGGATAATTTTTGAGGCATTTGTTGTCGTGTTACTTTCAACCCCTTGACCCCCAGGGCACCTACCCCTAAAATTTTACCATTTTTGTGTTCCTTTTAAAATTCTACATAACGAGGGTCACAAGGCAGGACCTCATATGACTTTTTTAATAAAATTTTATTTTTTTTTAAAAAAATTTTAGCAATATTTTCACAAAAATAATTAAAAATATTTTATTTGGTAATAGAGCATTGATATTTCGGCTCAATAAGATAAAATAATAATTTAGTGTAAAATTAGGTATATTTTTTGGATTTGCTCAAAAATCCTATGATACAAGGTACTGCATTGTGACCCTCGATAAACTAATGATAAAATAATGCAGTTTATGTAGAATTTTATAAGGAACACAAAAATGGTAAAAGAAATAGGGGTTGCCATTTAAAATTTTAGGGGTAGGTGTCCTGGGGTCAAGGGGTTGAAAGTAACACGACAACAAATGCCTCAAAAATTGTCCCCCTTGATACATATCAAGGAGGACAACACGTCAATTTACATAAATTGACGTGTTTCGCCAAATTTTCGTACTATCATCGGTAGAGGCAATATTAAATACTGTTCGCTTTCAAATTGTCACCCTGTATGTATATTGTTGCAAGGGCTTGAGCTGGCTGACGTTTTAATAATCAGTGTTAGTGTGGTATCCTTGCTAGAAAAAAGTGGGCTATACAGACTGTGGAAGCAAAAAATATTTTTTTTGGCTTCTAACAAGCTGTCGCCATACACTTAAAACTTGTGATAATTAAAATTGTTTTTTGTTTATGAGGGATAAAGGAGAGATGTACATTTCGATTAACGAAATATTTCTATTGCATCATACAGAATATTCTAACGAACTAAAAATTAACGTACGACTGTAATAAATTTATTCGATAATCCCCAGTGTTAAGATAAAATTACACACATTGTCTGAATAAGATTCAATAAGATAATCGTCTATCTATGGATACATAATTATTTTATACATTCATATAAAATATAAAATTTCGCAGAATGGATCTTCTAGTATTTACTAAATTTTTTGTCTCTTGTAAACAAACTCCACATTGCATAGTTTTTGAGAAACAAAAAAAGGTTTTTTTTCCTAAGGAGACCTACAAGATATACAGAGAGTTAAAATATTTCTTGGACTGTGGAGGTAAATCGTGTCCAATGAACTTATTTTGATTCCAAAAATACGTATCAGTTTTATGTCCACAAAATATTGGAACACCCTGTATATTACAGAGTTGTATATAATTATTTTTTCATAAACCGTACAAAATAATATTTAATAATTCCAGGTTCTTACATTCACGTGGAGGAATTCGCTGGCCCTCAAGAACTAGCAGAATACCTGCATCGCCTGGATAGGGACACTGCCCTGTACAATTCATACTTCAAATGGAAGGGCACGGGTCAACTGATCAACACGTACTTCTGGTGCAGATTATGTACAATGGTACATGCTCCTTTTGGAAACAAGCATTACGAGGACATAAACGAGTGGTGGAGAGGACCTGGTATATGCACAAGTAAATCGTGGAGAAGTTCTGAATTTGTTTAAGAAATGTCATTTTGAATAGAGTATAGCCACAGGACAACTACTTATAGTAACAAAAAGTTTTATTTAATTATATATATCCTATACCTATTTCTAAATTTACGCCTTAGGAGCCTTAAGGATTACATTATACTTTTTTCGTAAAAAATGTTATGAAAATGCAATGTGGGCATCATGTTGGCAGCTAATATGAATATTTTTATCTTTTTTATTTTTACAATAATTGGCCTGTGGTTGACAAAGAGTTATGTATGTACCTAGGATATTATTTTCCTAACCAAAGTCTCGTTTATATGAATACTTAAGACGGAATTGAATATCATAAATATAATACCAAAAGAAGGTGTTTAAAACAGAACATTTTAACACTTACACTTGTCTGTTTCATTTTACAAGTGTTTTCTCTTTTAACAAACCCAAAAATCAATATATTACAAAAATATTTTTAATTATCTGAGTATATCTTCGCTTTAAGGCACTACTTGACTAACTAGATTCTATGTTATCGATGTTAGAATTTACGTAGTGGCGTAGTGACTTATTAGAAAATTAAAACCAAATTTATTTAGTGAAAATGTCAATTAGGAATAATCTTTTTCTATTTAAAAATTAAGTAATGTTGGGTCCAGACTTTTTAAGTATTATTTCTTTCAATAAGTATTTACATATTTAAATATGTTACAAGACATCACTATAACGAATAAGTTGAAATATTGATTTAAAGGGCTTTTAATCAAATGTTAAAGTAGACATGGATGATCAGTAGGTTTTACAATATCTTATCTTAAAATATTATGTATGACTTCACACATCTTAAGTATACCATCCTGAATACTTCATCTGCTTGGTCTGTACTTTAACGCATGCGCCAGAGATAAATATAAATGACCGGTTGACAGACAACAGACAGTGTTGCCAGTTTTTACGTGTGTAGGAAAATGTGTGTAAAAAAATAAATTATTTTAAAAACTTTCATGTATACCACTGAAATGAACATAATAGGATATCTAAGCTAAATATAATCTATTACAGCTGTAGTAAAATGAGTAACTAATTGTGAAAAATAAAGTACCAACCCTAAATGCAACATTTTTCATAAACGCCTACTTGTGCGGTTTGATATTTTGATGCAAAATCCGGCAATACCGCGTAGAAGAAAATGTACCCAACTGTTATCTCTTTTTAATACATTTGATTTTCCATTAAGCTGTCTACATTACTGTCTTACACATTAAAATCCAGACCACGCTTTTACCGTGACCAGATTGGTATATGTCAGATGTCATACAAAACATTCAAAATAATGTAACTAAATATTGAGGTCCTTTCTTGTACATTTGTGGCGAATGAACTGTCAAGTTTCTAAATTACAATTTATTCAATATTCAGCTAGATATTTTGGCAGTGACAGTTGTGCCTGTAATTTTAATTTACAGGTAAATTGTATTTTATGTCATTTATTGAATGTCGTTTGTCGATATTCTTATTCTTCCCGAGACAATACCTGTTGAATCGTATCTTCAATTATTATTTTTTTTTTGTGAATGTCTAATAGACTTACACTACAAATACACATAATAAGGAAGTTATATGCATATTAGTCTGGCCAACGAGTCAGGAAAGATTTTGACAGACGATATCCAAAAATGACAGAGAACACAGTTTACCTGTGCATTAAAATGACATATATACTCAGTACTGTGATCACTGATTAATATTACTTAAATTTCACTATGTCTACTTGGTATAAAGGCCTACTATCTAAATATACGTTCCTATACAATAAACTTGATATATTTTTAAATTGATTGATCTATTTTAAAGTGTAAGATCAAAAATGAATTTAAAAGAAACAGTATCCAAAAAGTGTGGCGATGTGCAGTTGTTATAGTTTATTTTGGCATTATCTACTTCTTCATTTATAGATGTAATTCCCTTGTTATTGTAATTGTTAATTTGTTGTACATATACAAAAAAAAATCTCGTCATGTAGTATCGTTTTAGGGTATACCAAAGTGTGCACAATAATTTTACAGTATTTTCTTTTTTTGTCGTCGGTGTATGAAAATAAAAATACTTCGGTATTTTTAGTTTAAAAACAAGACCTAATAAAAAATGTAGCATAAATAATTATAACATACAGTGTTGTAAATTATAGTTAGCTAATCAGTGTCGTATCCATACAAAATAAATTATTTCTAACTACTTATATCTAAAAACTGGATACTATACTGATGTTAATTTATTAGTATTATTATTTTTCATTATACCGGGTGGTTTACTGAAGCATTGTGTCAAGAAATTTATTGGACAGTAATTTATTATTTTTGTTATATTAATTATAATGTTTCAAATACAAGAAAAATAAAACTTCATGAATAGCAATAAATATATAACAATATGAAGAAAATAATTTATGTACAGTATGTCTCCGGATTGTCTTTACAAGAGAAAAAACTTTTTTATTATTGACATTTTGAGAAAAATACATTTTTCATTAAAAGAATTTGTTTCATTAGAACTTAGAAAAAATTCAATAATATTTTCATGTTTTTTTTAATTCTCTCTAAAACGGCATGGAAATTTGGAAAAGTATCAACTGGATTAACCATTTTAGAACAAGAAAACATTTTTATGAAGAATGCATTTTTCTCAAAATGTCAATAATAAAAAGCTTTCCTCTTGTAAAGACAATTTTTCATATAGACCAAAAAAAAACATATTTAGATCTTATTTAGAATTTCGTTTTTTATTCACACTGAACATTATTTTAAAAACCACCTGGTATATTTGTCAAATCGTTCTGTGATATTATGTTGGGATTCACATAAAAAGGGATATATCTAATACATCCATTTACTGTACCCTATAGGTTGATTTAATTTCCTTTACACTGTAAAACTTCACATAATTAAAAAAAGGCAGCCTAAAAAATGCAATTATAATAATTTAGTTTAATATTTTACTGATTTTCAGAGTTCTTAAACTACAAAACTAGTCGTAAATGTAAAAAAATCTATGGTAGATAACTTAAATCGTAAAATTATCTATGATAATCGGCATTAAACAAATCTATGTTGATCGTTTCGCATATGGTTAAAACAGAAACAATTTTAGCCGCTGCTTCTAAGAAGTCACCTAAGTGGCTGCACACTGTACTTAAAACAACTAACTTGTATTGTTGATTATTTGTAAATCAATAATAATTTATTAAGTTTTTATTATGTTGTTTTATTTTATATACCTATATATGTTGA